GAAAGATAAATCCTAAACTATTACAAGGCTTCGGGGAGGGGATTATTTACATGTCCAAAACTTGTGGGGAAATAAAGCAGTAAAGTAAAAGTCCTAGTTAATTCTATTACATCCCAGTAGGTAGTTACAGAAAATATGGAAATAAAAATGTGAAAAGTAAAAACGCGCGCGAATTGAAAATGCGTCTAAAAATCCTAAGGAAAATGAAATCTTTTTGTTTTTGTTTTGTTTAATAAAAGAGAATAAAATCTAAGTCTAGACTTAATTTTAATTTTAAGAAAGCGTTAAGGTAATTAATTAATTAACAAAATTAATTTTAATAAAAAAAAATTAAAACCTTTTTTTTTGTGATTTTTATCTGATTTTATAGTTAAATAAAAAGTAACTAAAAAGAACAAAAAAACAAACATATAAAATGGGCCAAGCAGTAAAAATAAACAAGGGGTGGTGTGATCTGGAAAATGTTAGGCCCAAACAAACAGAACCCAGGAGCTGCGTTGGATCCTGTGTTGCTAGCCTTTGAGGGTCTACCATGAAACTGCATGATGAGGCGTTTGGATCTGAATCAGATGGTGATGATATGATGGTACATGGTGTATGCGTTTGGACTTGAAGCGCCAGATCTGCAAGAAAATAGTTAGAAAAAAACAAAATGCAGGACCTGGGTATCGAACCCAGGTCCTTCCCCTGCACACACATCTGCAAATTGGATCAAATGCTAGATCGAAGCAAATCCAAAGACCCTACCCTACGTGAGACCATCCCCTGAATCCAAATCTGGGGTTAAAATTAGTGAAAGGTCCCCGTATCACCTAGTTCGAAGCTTGGCTACTTCAAAGCCCTAAATATGGCACCCTGTACTTCCAACACTCATATTCGCATGTAGCACACTAGACTTAACCCAATGATCACTAATAATATAAAAATTCATATAAAACCAATTTAAATTATGTATTTGAAAGGGTTATGATCCATAATTTTACCAAAGACTGGTGGGCTTGGTGCGTGACTTTTGGGCGTGCTTCAGGTTTGGAGGAGAGCTGGTATGGGCTTTTGAGAATCTCAGGAATATGGATCTGGTATTCGTTTGGACTGGAGAAGCCTGCAAAGTGTGTTTCAAATTTTGATCACTTTGTGAGATTTTGAGAATTTGATATGGTTTTCTGAGGCAGCTTCTTCTGTGTCTTGATAGGCAATGTCTGTTTTGTATTTATAGGGGTGTGGTGGTGAACAAATATGGCATGAATCAACCATTAATCACGGCTTTGAAAGCAAAATCAAAAGGTTTGAAAAGTTGCCATTTTTGATGATTTTCTACCATTTTGGACTTTGAGTGAACCTGGACAGGCTGTGGTTGGAGTTTTGCACGTATTTGGGCTTCGTCCCATTAGGATTTCATTTCAACTTGTAGTTCATTTCACATAAATTGATTCTTTCGAATGCTCCCAAGCTTTTCTCTTTTCGATGGCTATGAGTCCCAATTCTAATTGTTCAAGGCCTCATCATATTGGCTTCTTCGATTGAGTCACCATCTGCATTTGTTGCTTGATCTGAAAAACTCTCATATCCAACCATCCTAATCAAACTCAGTTCTTGTTCCTTTCGATCTCCTTTCCTTCAATTCGACCAATCGAAGCATCACCTTTTCATCTTAGCCTGTCGAAGCTTCATTTTGTTCTTTCCTTCGAACACAGTTGTGACTGTGTCTTCGACTCCCATTTCAACCTTTGATTTTGTCTATAAGAATATCTTTATTGCTCACTAATTCATCTTTGATTGGTGAATACAGCTTGTATGCACCAATCAAATGATAACCTATGAGCAACAAAACTTCACTTCAATCGTCCAACTTCTTCCTCGCTTGTTCAGGTACATGCATGTTCTTTGAACCATAAGATCAAAGCTTTTGAATTCAAACTCTTCCTCTTTTCGAAGCGCCAATTCAATCAACATGACAATTGAAGTGTATTTCCTTGTAATGCTTCGAATGGCTTATATTTCAATGGTTCGAAAACGAACCCTTCGAAGCTCTTTACTAGCTATTCCAATCGAAGACTTCATAAAAGCCTCCCCACGCTTTCTTTCGAACTATCCTTCCTTCGATCCTAGTGCTTCGTCGGGCATTAAATTAGACTGCATACTGCTGTCGAAGCTGCTTCGACCCAAAAGCTCTTAGGTATATTTTCAGCTTTCGACCTACACCTTGTCATGTACACTTCTTTTCTTTCTTTCAACTATGCCATTATGCTGAGGCGTATAGGGTGCCATGGAAATCATTTGAAGCCCTTGCAAACAAAAATTCTTTGTGAGAAATGAAACCTTAGATGGAAATCCATTGCTTAGAAGGAGAATTTGTCTGGTCAATTCTTGGTCAACCTTGAGCAAATGGGGACCTCAATGAGAATGCCTTGAATAGAATGGGAGGTTAAGTTTTAGGGTACAGCACCTTCCACTCCCCTGAAGCCTTTTTTACCAATAGAACATTGGAGATCCATTTAGTATAATTAACTTCGGAGATAAAGTTGGCATTTAGTAAGCCTTATACAACTTGCATGGTTGCTTCAGCTTTTTCAAGTGATTGTAATCTCCTACGTTGGGATACAAACAATGCACAAGGATCAATATTTAAGTGATCATATGATACACTTGGATCTATGTTTGGCATATCGTGGTGAGAAATTGTGAAGAGGTCGACATTGAACTTCATGCACTCAGCGAGTCATTTCTTTACCTTAATTAGAAACGCATCACCTATTTTAACCGATCGAGTCGGGTTATCATTAAGCTGGATGACTTCAAACTCTTTGTCCGCGATCGACCTTAAGGTCTTCATCTTTCCCCTGGTCTATATGCTTAGCTTGTCGTCCTGACATGGCTTTGTTCTTTCGCACATGCTTACTTTGTTGACTTATCCATCCTTTACCCAGGAACAACGACTGATTCCATAAAGTTCTTTAACGTTACATTGTATATAAGATGGGCTCCACACTAATCAACTTTAACGAGGACTGGTTGACCCACATCTTTATGGTACTTCATCTTCAAATGAATTTTAGAGGTTACGACGTAAAATGTTATAAGGAATGATCTTTCAAGAATTTCGTAGGAGACACTTTCACAAGGAATCACGAAGAAAACAACGTTTATAATCCTTTAGTCCTTCCATTTTCCAAAATAAACTGGTAGATCTAGAGTTCCACATGGTTGAGTTAAGGAGTCATTGAGCTTGAGAAGGCTTTTGCCTCCACATGGTTTAAGATCTTGCACGTGTAGCCCTAACTTTTTGAAGATTTTGAGATACATGAGACTGTAGGAGCTTCCATCATCAATGGGGATCTTCGCCACTGAATGGGAGGTTAATGTGGTAGTTACAATTAGCAAAAGTGTTGCGTTAAGAGTTCCTTCCACCATCTCGTTTTCTCGAAACCCTATCATCAACCTATCTTTTTGGCGGTTCTTTATCTGCATACTGCTTTGTGATAGAGGCTTTTTATTGCCAAGTTGCCTCTAGTCGACCGAATCGATGACGCGAATTGGGGATGATCCCATGTTAAAAGGACAAAAATTAATCTAAGAAGTTAGGATAAGGGATGTTTTCTTTATCTTAGCATGATTGTTATAACAATTGTGACTTGAATCAAATGGATGTGATTATGGAAATTTGAAAGAACCAGAAGTCAATTCCCATATACGTGTTCCATTGAGGAACTAGAATTGTTCTGTGAATAAAAGGATAACCCAGTGTACGAGGCTCCTGTTTAATGGACTCCGGGGGGTCAAATGTACGCAACCTTACCCCTGTTTTTTTATAACAAAGAGGTTGTTTCCAGCATAGTTCAAATTTATGACCCCAGGATCACAATGGAACAACCTTACCGCTGAACCAAAGCTACCCTTTTATACAGTGGAGTAAACTTCCAGTACGACGGAAAAAAGAATTGACCTAAAAGATTAGCCTTCTAACATCCAATTCAGTGAGAGAATAAAAAAAATGATGTGAAGATGATAATAAATTTAATCACACATTTTCCTTTACATAAGAGTTCGTTTAAGTGTTTCAAATTATAATTAGATGTATGATTTTTTGTGACTAAGTATTTAATTAATCTAAAATATTAGGCATGTAATAAAACACGATGCATAGTTATGTAAAAAATAGAGATTAAAATGACTAGTTTCATATCGATTTTTAAAAAATCTGTTTATTTTATTTTATTTTATAAAATAACTTTTTATAATTGTTTTTAATAACAAGTAAAAATTATTTCGAACTAATACTTTATAAATAAAAAATTTAACTGTGACACCCACTAAATAAATATTTATTATAATAGAAAAATGTCAGAAATAATTCTAAATTAAAGTAATTTTTTAAATTATAATATAAAAATCATAATAATATGATAAATAAAATACTTAAAATAATATATTTTTTAAAATTGTAAGTTTTTTCTTTAACAAAAAATAAATAATATTATAAAAGTAATTTAATGAAAAAACTGAAATAAAATTACCATTGTGGATTGAACCCTGAAACAAGTTGGAAAGAAGAAATAATTTTTTTTTGCCTTTCTGTTATTGAGAAGCGCAAACAGAATAACAAGTGATTTGAAGAAGAAGAGAAATTGCGGCGGCAGGTACATAAACTTTTCTTTGTTGCAGCGTTTGAATAATCATCAACGATCAGTATATTATGTATTCTTCCTCGTTTTGTTATTGGCTTTTCACTGAATCAATGTTAATACCTAATATATTTGCAAGGTTAGATGAGTGACAAGATTCACCGTTTTAGTATAGTGTATGCCAAGTGTTTGATAAATTGCTTCTATGTCAAGTGCTTGAAATTGAAGTTTCTACTCTATTATGTTATATGGTTGGTTCATAATGTGAGGTGTTTGTAGATGGAGGATGTATAGATAACAACCATTCTGTTTCTTATTTTGCAGTTGACAAGTTGAACTTTATTAGGTTAGAATTTCTACTCGGAAGTTGATCTTGTAATGGATATAATCTCTCAGCTACAAGAACAAGTTAATTCGATAGCAAATTTAGCTTTTAATACCGTTGGGACATTGCAAAGGGATGCACCTCCTAATCGCCTCTCACCAAATTACCCTGAGCCACCACCTGCACAGCCTACGGAGGATGCGGCAAACTTTTCTGAAGAACCAAAGCTGATGAGTGCTTCTTTGGTGAAAGCTGCTAAGCAGGTATGTAGCATTTTAGCCAGCAATAAAAAGGAGTCAATAGGTTGGTGTTTGAATTGTGTTTAGAAAGTTTCTAAGAAGCTTTAAATACGGTTATGTAGTGTCGTAGAATTGGTGGATAATTTTCTGAATATTATTTCAAATGCATTAAGAGTTGAATCATTAAACTATGAAAATAGACTATGCTGTTCCTAACGGGCTGAATATAATCTACTCTTCTAATAATTACTAAAATATGATCGTATTTACGACCAGCATCATATATTTTAAGCAATACTGCTCAAATTTGACGGAGCATCAATTCTCAGCACATGTTGGAATATATTCTGCTCAATAGCAAAAACAATATAAACTTGCTTATTAAAATAATTTGATTATCCTTTTAGGACAGTAGACTTGAGACTGAAATTCTTGTTGTTTCACGTGAGGGGAATGTACCTACACACACGAGTCTTCTAGTCGATCCCAATAGTTAGGGAAGTAATCAACTAAGAAAAGACAAATTAGTATAATCAAGACATAATAACACAATATCCTAATGCACATGGTTCTCGTAGAGGACAACTTGCACAATGCTCGTTTTTAAATTTTAGCCAAGACTGGACATATTCGTAGATCCTAATTAACCATGAAAGTCTAGACTATTTAATTCTTATTTTGTCCAGCTATACCTCACTATGCATCCTGCATTCTATTTTCTATCTTAAACACTTCTATTTGAAGAGTAACACGGGGTCTGTTGAAATATATCTGCTGTTTCTTTGCAGTTTGATGCATTGGTTGCATCGCTTCCAATATCTGAGACAGGTGAAGAAGCACAGCTAAAGCGGATTGCAGAACTCCAAGTAAGAAACTCCCAGCTCACTGACTGCTCTTTATATGTTATTGATTGGCAGTAGTTTATAACAGTTGGTTTAGTTTTAACAAATAGTGTTATGTTACGGCTTTTTCATGTTTCTTGATTTTACCTTATAGGCTGAAAATGATGCAATAGGCCAAGAACTTCAGAAGCAATTGGAAGCCGCAGGTTTGTCGATTTTTTTCTGTGTACTTGAGTTTTCTTAATACATTAAATATTAATTCATGTTAAATAGAAAAAATAAGATTTGTTGATTTCTTCGAAAGTTATATTCTTTGAAAAAGATGCCTGGGGTATATTATATTTATGTAAAGCAAATAGCAGAGTAGTGTTAAATTTAAGAAAATTGAATTGAAAGTATCAAATTGGTTTGTTCACGTAAAGAGCATTTCATATGCTATACTGCTGCAGTTGTTTGGGGACATTAATTTGCCAGTGATTTGCTTTCTCCCATTAACTAATGACTTTTAATGCCTAGAAGCCTAGATATATAGTACGATACTAATAATGTATGAAATTAATAAAATCTAGATACAACACAGCCAATATATGATGACAAAATGTCTATATACTTATAGCCCTTCATAGTCTAAGGCAAGTGAATACTGAATAAGTAGTCGAAGGAGAGAATCTAGGAGGTATCCAGAAGAATCATATTGTACTGTTGAATGGAAAGCTTTTAGCCCTCCATAGGAGCTTTGTGGCAGTTGTGATGGTTAGATCCTTCTGTAAATTTTCTCAAAAGTTCAATAAAACTAAGCCTCATATTTCGGGCTATTATTCTGTGTTTCTGCATCGACTTTTTAACTGATTTCTTCAGGACCTAACATTAGTCCGACCTGCTGGATTCGTTTCCGAGGGATCAGAATTGAGGACATACCAATTAAATGCCGCCAAAGAAGAAAGTGATGGAAACCAAGGTCAAAAATCTCTAGCAAGAGCTGTCTACACTGAATGTCACGTTTGCAAATTCTATCCCCGAAGTTTAACAAATGAGACCTGGTTTTAGATGCAAACACGAAGTGTTGTTATACGAAGGGCGGTTGGTGCTTTCTGCTCAATCATCTTTAATTCCTAAGATGTTAGAAGAATATCACACTACCCCACATGGAGTACATTCAGGTTTTTACTGTACATATAGGCGTTTGGCAACAATTATATTGGGTAGGGATGAAGAATTGTGTGGAGGAGTTTGTAAGGGCATGTGACACTTTCTAACATAAAAAATATTTAGCTACTTCATCTGGGGGTCTGCTGCAACCGCTCTCAATTCCGGGAGCAGCATGAGAAAAAATTTCAACGGATTTTATAACAGGGTTGTCAAAATCCAAGGGGGCCTTCTCATTAAGTATTGTCACTTTGTGCCTTTAATACATCCTTACACCAAGCGGACAGTGGAAGAGGTCTTTGCCAAAGAGGTGATCCTTTTGCATGGTATGCCAATATCCCTTGTTAGTGACCATGTACAGGGAAACGGCTGGACAAACTGAGGTGGTGGATTGTTATTTAGATCAAGACCTTTGTTGCGTCATCGCTGATCATCCTAGATCATGGTTGTATTGGGGACCATGGGCAGAATTCTGGTTTAACACCACTTTTCACGCAGCTACAGGTTGCACCCCATTTGAGTTAGTATACAGAAGGAATTGAGTGATCGAGATGAGGCGTTACCAGACTAACGGCCAGGGAGACAAGGGTGGAGGCTGTTCAGAAGGAATTGAGTGATCGAGATGAGGCGTTGAGGCAACTGAAACTCCACCTCCAAAGGGCACAGGACAGTATGTAACAGTTTGCTGATTACAAAAGGAGCGATCACAATTTTGGAGTAGGAGATTTTTTTTAAGCTATGGACGGGCACACCTTCAAAAATCAGTTGCATCGCATATCAACGCGAAACTAGCAGCAAGGTGCGGTGCAAGCTTAAGTTTCCAGAGGGATCAGGAATGCATCTGGTCTTCTACGTGTCGTTGTTGTAGAACAGGAGCTGCCACATGATGAAGCAGAGTGTGCTGGAGTGTTCAAACTGAGAGGCATTAGCAGCCCGGATCCCTGGCAGGAGAGTTGATTCAGTGCAACATTGGCTGATACAGTGGGCCGGTAGAACTGCAGAGGAGGCTAAGTGGGAAGACAATCTTGATCAAAAGTCAATTCCCAGATTTCCTGTGTGATGACTGATAAAAATTTCTCTTTTTCTCATCATCCTCAAACCATGAAAACTTTAATTAACTTATTTTTTAGTACTGCAGATGCAATAATAACAAAACAGAATACATGTTTACCCTTGTTTGGATTTTACACTGGTTCTTTATTTGAGTAAAAGGTAGATGCAGCCTAACATGTAACATTTTCTTTGGATTTTTTATGCCAGAGAAAGAATTAAATCAAGTTCAAGAGTTGTATAGCCAAGCAACAGATAATTGTTTGAACTTGAAGAAACCAGATATCAGTTAATTACTTGTGTTGGTTCTGGCTGAGCTCATAAGAATCACAGACATGTGCTTATCTCATCTCAACTCAAATCAGGGCCTGCTTCTGAAAGATGTTACTTTTTAGCATGAAGTCTTTATTATGGGAAATAGATATATGCTTACATGTATTGTAAATTGGTCATGTACTCATGTTATTGCATGGCATTTTGTAGAAACTTGTAAAGATAATGATGGTAACTGCTCTCCCTGAAAGGAAAAACTTATTACGTTTAGCTATTTTTTTTGTTGACAATATATCTGGAAAGTTATTTTGACACCTTAAAGGTGTACTATACCGTACTTGTATATTCACATGGTGTTCATTTGGAGTTGGGATCCTCTTCACTTCTCAAAAGAAATGGAGAGTACAATTACTAAAGTTTTGGAATATATATTTCATTTAGTGTTAAAATTTGCAAAATGCTTAGTAAACACTAAGAACCGCTACAAGGTATAAAATACATAGTTTGATTTTTTTAAATATTTTTTATCTACAAACTTTTTTGCACGATGACATACAGTGTCAGAGAAATGTTGGTTTCTGGATTTAAATATCAAAGCTCTTAATTTTGTCTAAATAATACACTTTGGATCCTCTCTTTCAATTTTCCCTCCATCCTCTTTATCTCTCTCTCTTGATTATATTTTGTTTTAAATGATGAGAGTGAGATTGTTGTGTGATTGGAATGAGAGAAACAAGAAAGAGAGTTTGATGAAAAGAGAGAAGTTGGAAAAAGATACTACATCCATCTTGTTCGGCAAGAATAGAAATAGGGAAGAGATATAAAAAAAACATATGAGGCCCACAAGAAATTCTTTCTTCTCTAATCAGCTAAAAAGCATCAAAAAGTGTATAATACTTTTTACTTTTCCTTTAGGGTGTGATTGGTTTAGGGTGTGATTTGTTGTGAAGAAAATTAAAAGATATAAATATGTAAGAAAGAATGAAAGAAGAGAGAAATATGTGAAAAATAAAAAAGATTTGATATATTGTTTGATATAAGAAAAGTATAAAAGAAATAGAGAAAAGAAAAATGTCGGTGATTATTGAAAATATAAAATTGTCCTTAATAATAATTTTGAATTAGAAGAAAATACAATAAAATTAGTGTTAAATTAACATTTCTCTATTTTGAAAAGATTGAAAAAAGTAGTGGATTTCACACATTTCTTTTTCTCTTTTCGACCTCTTTTCTAAACCAATCAAGAGAAATTATCTCTCTCTTTCATACTTCTCTCTCACCTTACTCACTCTTCTTTGTTTCTCTTAAATCAACCAGATCTTTAATATCTTCTAATTCTTTCAATGTAGCGTCCATGCTATTTTTTATTTGATATTAGTAATAATATTATGATCTTCATGCATTACATTCCAATTTCATTGATGATTAAATGGTTGGGTAATATGTAAATATTAATTTTTTTATAATTAATGTTGAATTTGTGTATAAAAATATAACTTTTTTGGTCTTATAAATAATTTTAAAAGTAATTTACGTCCAATTCATTTTTCTTTCATTTATTTACAATTTTTTTTAAAAGAATAAAAATTATATAAAAATTAAAATGTATTATAATTCTAACTCATTGAAGTACTTTTAAATAATTTTTCATAAGAATGTTTTAAAATTAAAATTATACATTTTTTATTATATAAAGACATTGTGTCATTTCAAAAATTTAACAAACTTCTCTCTCTTTTTTATTATATAAGATATAGTGGGCCCCATACACTTTTTCTTTCTGCGCACACATGAGAAGAAATGACAATGTAGTAATGACTTAATTTACTTTTCCACATTTACCCTTTATGTCATGGATGGTCTATAATGTATAATAGTTATTCTTTTGAATATACATCAATTAATCAATGATAAAAATTAAATTATAAATTCTACTATTTTATAAACTAACAAACTATCTTGATTGTCATTTGTTGGAACTTTAACCTCTTTGCTTTTCTCGCTATGTCTTTATAGGGGTTGAAGTGTTTCATTTTTTTCTTTCCCTTCTTATTCTTAAACTTTTTAATTTTTTTGTTTCTATGGTTTTGAAGCAACCTCTAGAGTACCATTGTAATTTATCTTCCAAGCTTTCTTCTTAACTTACTATGAGATCTTCTTCCACTGATACATTTTTGCGCATTTGTTGGTTTTTCTTTTGCATTTCAAATTTCCAGCTTTTGGTTGTACCTACTTTTCTCATCTACGATCCAACAACTCTAACAAACTAGCAATGCACCTTAAGGAGTGCATTTTTCGTGGTTATTCACCAACTCACAAAAGGTTACAAGTGTCTTGACTCTAGTGATAGGGTATTTATATCCAAGTGTAATAATGATGGGGGAGTTATTAGGAGCATTAATACATAGTGTATGAATATACACCTTTGTGAGAGACACATCACTTATCCACCTAAAACTTTAAGGTGATAGGTGAGTGTGTTCTCTCACTTACATATGCTTAAGTCTCCACATTCCTATTCAATATGAGACTATTTTCCCACTTACTCGCACTTGCTATATTATTCCAACAATAATCGATTTTAAAATGAGAGTCACCATCCTTAATTTTTATCTTTAGGAAGGGAATATAAAAGATAACCCTAATTTGGTTAGAGATTCTAAGTTGTTTGACTCGTTCTTAGACGAAGGAAACGTGTTAGGCACCCCTCATCTACCTTATTCACAAGGATACTAGGATTTAAAATTGTAATTTTTAGGAAATAGAGTTTTAATTTTTATTAGGGGAACTCGCCACGATTTTAGTCGTATGCCTACGTATCCTCTTATGAGTAATCAAAGTCTCAATTCGTAGTTCGTAGTTGTTTGGTTAGTGTTTTTTTTTATGGATTATGAAAATATCTCGAATTCTCCTTGAACCAAGTCTGAGTGTGTGAATAGCGGAATTTGTAGACGAAATTCGCAGTCGGTTTAAAGATATCTCCATAATTCTTTTTTGAAAATTTTCTTGGATTTACTTAAGTTAGTAAAAAATTGATTTGATGTTGGTTAGAAATTTTTTAAATATATTAATATATAAAAAATCTTCTTAATGTATGGCAAAAAAAATAATTTTAAAGCAATTTTTAAAAGTAATTAAAGAATGAGTTAGTAGAAAAAATAAATATTTGAATTTTATAATAATAAAATAAATTCAGAATTTATAAATATGTTAAATATAAAATTATAATAATAATATAAATGATAAAAAAATAAAATAATTTCAGAAAAAAATGTATGAGGTGTATTTTTTTTGGGTTAAGTAAAACATGGGGTGTAGAAAGTAGGGCCCTGAATTCAAATATTAAATTCGGGCCTAGATCACAAGGGGGTGTTGATCTGTATTATGCAACAAAAGTGGGGGTTTGGTCTAGTAAGAGGTCTAAGTTCAGATATTAAACTGGGTCCAATAGCGCTAGGGGTGTGTGTTATGACTGAAAAGTAATATGGGAGTATGCACTTAGTATTGGGCTTAACCCAGATAATGTTTGAAGCGTGTTAGCCCGTTTACAGGAAGGTGCAAAGCCTTACGGTGTGCAAAACGCTTACATATCGTTTGATTCAGATCAGGTGGCAGTGAAAGCGTGAATCCTGAGCCTTTGATCAAAAGTAGAGCAATCGTGTGGTTGAGACTTAAAGTTGACCAGGGAGTGTGCTAAGAAGGATCGTACAGAGGAACAAAGGGATTATATATTCAATTCCAACACAAATTTCTCATTTTTCCGCTTTTGTCTCTCTCTCTCTCTCTCTCTCTCTCTCTCTCTCTCTCTCTCTCTCTCTCTCTCTCTCTCTCTCTCTCTCTCTCTCTCTCTCTCTCTCTCTCTCTCTCTCTCTCTCTTTCTATCCCATTCTCTCACTCCACAACAATAACCTTAGAGAGAGAAGCTTTGACTTCTCTCTAGACTCGTTTCCCGCCGGAAATTGCCTTAGCTGTGTCGGCCGCCGCGGATCACCCCAAAGCCACCGTAAAACCGAGGTTCTCGGTTGAAGCTCAACCGAAACCTTCAAATCTTCAACCAAAACCTAAGAACCCTAGGTTTCTCACATGAAAACTAACCCTTATACCAACCCAGAATCACAAACCCTTAGAATCCTAACCTTCAAGCGAAGAATCCTAACCCTAGATGAAGAACCCTAACCCTTATTTGACCCCGGGAATCCCAAATTAAACCTCAATCACACAGTTAAACATCAATCATCATGCAATCAAAACCCTAAAAGTTAAGTGTGTAGCAGTAGAAATGTTCAAGACTAAGCCATTAGATTGACTAGACTTTATACAAATCAAAATAAAAATCGCCACCGCGCTTTATTGTTTCCAAAGGAATGGGAAAAGAGCGAATAACCCAAAAAAGGGGGAAAGGTTCAAGGTAAGGGGGTTGGTTATGCAAAGGGAAGGTATTAACACCCTAAATATCTACGGTACTCCGCAGGAACCTCTTTGAAAAATCTGTATATTTTGGCTATAAAAAATGTGTTGTATATAAAATGGATAGTGGAGGTGAGAAAAGAAATATTTTTTATGATTTTTTGCACCCGCCGCGGTTGCGAACCTTTAGTGCCTACGTACCACCTTTCGTGCAATAGGGGATCAGGGTACACGTAGTTCCTCTTTTAAAAGGGTTTTAAACACAAGTGTGTTGGTTGATTTTAAGAGATAAGACATCATCGTCATTGTCCGTGTGGAAAACATACTTACTACCCACAATCATGAGAAAGGAGAATTTGCATCATCTCAAAGTGGAGGACATGGCTTGGATTTTAAAAATCAACAATACCTCACTCAACACCCAAGTGGAAAATATCTCTCTTCACTAGATATTGTAGAAGTATAGTTGTTTACATCACTACAAAGATTGACAAGAGCCTTAATCTTTTGAGAAAAAGTTTAAAGATAAAAACCAAAGTGGCAAAAATGGTTTGAAATGAGATTAATTGACTTTTAGTCTTCTCACAAAAAAGTGTCAAAGTATTATTAAATT